CGACTAGTAAAAGGAGTCAATGCAAACAGACGTTGGTTTGCGTTTCTGGAATAAAGGTCGTCAACATCAGTAAACAGTTGATTATCTAATAGGTTCGCTGCCATCTCTTGGATATCAGAAACCTTACAGGCACCTCCACGGTCTGGATTATCTCCAACTAGGTAGTTCATGAAAGGATTCTGCTTCGTTGGCATCACACATTTCTGAGGCCCTTCCAAAGATGGCAGAGTCGAAATCAGCGAAGGATTTTCATCTCTCTCATCATTTGCAAAAGGTTCTGTAATATTGGTGTTGTTTATTTGATCAATCATGGTATCCTCTGACAAAATGTAACTCGCCTGATTCTTCCACATGGCCTAAATAAAAACGACGATAACTACTCCAAAGTGAAAAGCTGTTGCTTTTCCATGATAAACTGATAAAGCCACTGAAATGTAAATCACCAATCTAGTTACTGCATTCACTCTCTCTTCTAACGTCTGGTCTTGAGTTGGAAAAAATTCAACGCATCTGGATTTTTGAAATAAAATACTTGGATCATTTCCCCAAAAAGAATCTCTTCTTTCAGACGATTTCATCTCTGGATGCATGTTTGCCATGTTTGTCTGTTTATCTATTTGATATTATTTTTTTCATATTAACTTGACGCTGATTGCTTTTTTGGAAAGATCGTCATGAAGATTTCGATGTTTCCAAACCAATTACCTGAAAAATGTTTTACATTTATCGATAAATGAAATGGAAGAAATACGAAACGGCTACGCAGAAATGCCAAATATTCAAAAAATGTTTATCGATAAATCAGATTACACAGAGATGTCGAATATTAAGAAAAACTTTTATCGATAAATGAGATGGAAGAAATGGAAACAGAAATCAGTTAGTAAATCCTTTACAGCATGTCGTCCAGGACGACGACATGTTACGAGAAAAATCTGTAGGTTAATAATTCATATAAATAATTTACGACGGCAATAACATGGAACAGAGATCTATTGCTGAACTTTGACCAAGAAATGAGTTGATCAACATCGGAATTGGTGAATCATCTGAAAATTGTTGAGCGAGCCCTGCAGGAATACCATTTTTGAAAATGTCAGTTTGTTGAAATTTAGACAACATATTTTTTGCTTGTTTTGTTATTTGCTCGTTGTCAATCTCACCGGAACCGACCTTGTCTTCAAACCTTTCTTTGACAATATTGATCATTTGCATAATGTTTGAAACATCCATGTTTTCGGGGGAAAATTTGTCTTTTGAACACAAGTCGCCTCCGAGAGTATCTGCAAGATAAATAAGTTCAGAATTTTCCTCGCTTTTCTCAAAAATCTTTTGTATTTCTTCTGGAATCGCAATCAAACTCGTTTCTGGGGAGTTTGTTTCCTCCTGTAATTCTTGCAAACCATCAGATTTTTGCGTTATATTTTTGGTCTCATCGCCAGCACAGAACAACGGCTGCACTGTTTCCAATATTGACAAATATTTTCTCCCTGAAATATCCTTTTTCAAAATGTTAACAGGGATTGCTTTGAACAATTCGGAACTTGAATCCTGAAGTTGATTCACGATGTCTTCACCCGTCTTGTTTTTGATCAAGGCCAAGATGCGGGAACTTTTTTCACCCTGCACAGATGACAAATCAGTAATCATTTCATTTATAACTTTGACGTTAACTTTTGCAATCATCGCTGCTTTTTTGGACCTTTTGTGACTGGTACTTCTAGACTTTTGTGTGTGGCCCATTCTTTTCACTTTTTTGATACAATAAAATATTTATGTCTAAAGCGCGGATAGCAACGGAAACAAAAACATTGAATCATTAACATTATAACATTAAAGTATCAACAATGAACAGGCATTTTTTGGACCTCGCTAAGGAATCCGTCCGGCATGACCGACCGGAAGTGAACGTGTTTCTGGCCTTCTTGTTGCCAGGATGGCGAACATGTTATCGATAGAGTGGCATAACCCCAACTGTCGACGGGTGCAACACCTGCGTTGTTCTTGGAATGAGAACCATCACCTGCCCAGTACACGACTTTAACAGCTCCCGCATGAGATTTAACTTTTATTTGAATATTGGCATTCGAAGGTCCTCCAATTTGAAGGACATTTCCTGGGAAAGCTGACCACCCTAGGAAAGGCATATAAGTGTCTTTTTTGCATGCCAGCAAAATAGCAGCTACACCGACCATCATGTAAACATATCGTGAGTATGATTTGAAAATTTCATGTACTGGATTCAGGTAGCCAATAGGCAACCAGGCCAAAGCACCAACCAGAACAATAACTATGAGCAAAACGTGCAGCCAAATGTGGTATTTTTTCATATGTTCAAGTATCTGATAGTCTCTCGTTTTGGTCTGGTTCTTTTTAGAAATATTATATTGTTTATCATTTGGAAACAATTTTTTTTTGAGTAATGTTGACCGTTTGTGTGATGTTGACCATTTGTGGAAAGTTTGACCATCTTTTTACTTTGAGTGCGCGATTGCCTTTACGGTTCCTGACTTTTTAACAGAAGTGTGTCGTTTTTTTGTCGCGTGCGACTGCAGTCTCATCTTTTTCAAGGCTGCGCATTTCTTTCGTGATGCCAATCGTGATTTTACACGCGAATGTGTTCGATTCTTTGTTGGTATTTTATCAGAACGTTGCACTGCTTTAGATTTTAAATTTTTCGAAGATGTCCTGGATGTTTCATTTCCAGTTTTTTTCGAGTTTGAAACAATTGACGTTTTTGCCTTTGGCGATTTCGATTTAAATAAAAAGCGGGGACTGTATTCCTTCGAGAAAGGAGTTTTCAAATCTTGCATAATTGGTGAAAGTTTTGTACTTTATGTAAATGAAGGGATTTTCAAAGTGTGAAAATAACCGCGTCTGAAAAGTATATAAGGGATGCATTTCAGTAAACTAAAATAACATAAATATGTCTTTTTCTTCAAATTCTTCAAAATATTTTGAATCTCCTGAATACCATGAAAGCGCCGTAAAGATGGAATGTGACATTGACCTTTGCGAAACGCCAACGCAAATTCTCAAAAAGAAAAGAAAGTCTTCCAAAATTAAGACAAAGGGTAATTTCATTCTTGAAGACTGCATAATCTTAGATTCCGAGCAAGTGAAACATTACGAAAAAGCAAACACACAAACAAATGATTATGGTTCATATTTCTTGGTACTTGAAGAATTTAAGTTTGGGTACCCAATGAAAACCAACATTTCTTGTTGGTGGTGCTGTCATCCTTTTTCCACTCCACCAATAGGTGTTCCTCTCAAATATGACTCGGTGCGAGATGGGTTCCAAGTCACTGGATGTTTTTGCTCTTTTAATTGTGCTCACGCATACATCAAAAAGAACCCAAAATTAAAGGTCTATCTTGCAGACCTCATATTCATGTATCGAAAAATAACTGGCGACACTACAGTCTCACTTGTCAATTGCGAAAAAATCAAAGCCGCTCCGGACAAATTGATTATAAACACTTTTGGGGGCCCACAAACAATAGAAGAATACAGAGATAAATGTCATGAAAGCTGGAGTCTAAATCTATGCCCTATGATTCCATCTCAAATGTTCTTTGAACTAGAAAGTGGTTCTTATCACGATAAAACCAGAAAACCATTGGAAATCCGCAAGGCCAAAAAACCAACCAATGATGTGACTGTTCCAATAAAATTACAAACTGATCCAACCAAACCAAAACGGCGACAAGCAGCTGTCTCTGTATCCAATTTAATCTCGTTCGCTTAGCAGATAAAATGTTTTCCACACTCCATTGTTTGTAATAAATAATTTAATGTTTATAATGATATAAAAATGTTTTCCATTTATCGATAAATACAGTTGAAAAAGATGATGATTCTCGAAGATGATGATTCTCGAAAATGATGAATATGTTGTGTGATTTTTAAATTCCATTTATCGATAGATACAGTTGAAAAACATCATGATTCTCGAAGATGATGATTCTCGAAAATGATGATTGTCGA